AAATTGGGCCCGGTAGCAGATCGGCAGCCAGTGGAGCTGGGACAACAAGGGCGCTGTATGCTCCCTGCGTCCTGCTCCCGTTAGTAACATGGTTGCCGCTCGCTGGACTAGCTGAAGCTTCCGGGCCGTCTTCAAGGGCAGCCCCACGTAGAGAGCGTTGCAGTAGTCAAGGCGGGATGTGACCAGAGCGTGTACCACCGTGGCCAAGTCAGACTTCCCAAGGTACGGGCGCAGCTGGCGCACGAGCCTAAGCTGTGCAAATGCTCCCCTGGTCACCCCTGAAACTTGGAGATCCAGGCTCAAAGATGAATCCAGAGTCACACCCAAGCTGCGAACCTGCGCCTTCAAGGGGAGTGCGACCCCGTCCAGCACAGGCTGTAACCCTATGCCCTGTTCGGCCTTGCGACTGACCAGGAGTACCTCTGTCTTGTCTGGATTTAATTTCAGATTTAATCATCCCCAACCCACCAGTATTCAAATTTGGGCGTAGCAGGTATTTGTGCCAAATTTGGTCCAGTGAATGAAAATACATCCTGCATATCAGATATTTACATTACGATTCATAACAGTAGCAAAATTGCAGTTAGGAAGTAGCAACGAAACAACAACAACAACAACTTCCTCTCCAGAGTTCTTATTCTTTTTTCACCACACCAGGACCGAACCTGCTGACATTCACCTCAATATTTCCAAAACCAGACTGATGAAAACAGCCAAAACAACCCATTCCTGCTCTCCCCGCCTTCCCTTCCCTATCTGTGTGCAGCCTCTAATCCCATCCCAAGGGCAATGCAATGGGATAGCTCCATAATCCACTTTCACCGAGATCGCCTTACATGAAAGGGGGAGCGGGTGTTGTGATGTGCCCATCTGTCAAGGCTGGGAATTATCCCCTCCGATCACATCAGGGTCACTTCTGCCCCTTTTCCCTGGCTTGGCGGCCTTCTGCCAGGCTCCCAAAAGTTGGAAGCAAAGAGGACCAGAGGCAAGTCCAGGAGATGGAGGTTTTGGGGCAAAGTGGTCAAGACTAGGTTTCCCAAGCCAACTCAAACAAACCCCGAAGGCCACCACGTTTGGAGAGTTTGGAGACAAAGCCAGGGAGAGCTATTTATTTATTTATTTCGAGGTTTTATATACCGACCCTCTCACCTTCAAAGAGGGATTCGGACCGGTTCA